AGATAATCATACGACATAACAGTATAAAAACATGAGACAGATAATCATACATACGACAGTATAAAACCATAAGACAGATAATCATACGACATACGACAGTATATAATCACAAGACAGATAATCATACGACATACGACAGTATAAAATCATGAGACAGATAATCATACGACATACGACAGTATGATCACATGACAGATAATCATACGACATACGACGGTATATAATCACAAGACAGATAATCATACGACATACGACAGTATAAAATCATGAGACAGATAATCATACCTATACCTCACTCACAGAGAGACGGTGAGGCACCTACCTACACACAGTACAAGCATAAGCACACAACAACCCGCAACCCGAAAACCACAAACCACAACCCGCAAACCAAAAACCAAAAACCAAAACCGAAAACCGAAAACCGCAAACCACAGACGGTCGTTGAGATATATACGAATAAGTAACTACATATAAAGCATTAAAGAAATACAATCACTACCCACAGCACGGGCCATATGTTGGACCGCAAACACTCTGCACACATCTATCCGTTTCTATCATACCACCGTTGCCCTACGCGTTTATTACACATTACAAAGGGCACTCTACACACACTCATGAGAGGAGAACATCATCATTTCAAACACGCAGATATTCCGCAAACACTCCCTGAGCACCCACACGCCCACTGTATCTCCTTTGAGTCTCTTTCACAGAAACTACTACCACCGGCACTCAGAGAGGCTACATACTATGCACCTTCTGTAACCACAACGACAAACCGTGAAGACCCTCTGCACACACCTGGCCGTCTGTACTTCTTATCGATATTATCCAATGGAGACATGGGATGGGGAATCCACGGGCCTACGAGAGGAGATACCGAACATCAGTATGTGAAGGCAGCAGCCACGGTATACAGCCCATGCCCACACAGCATCCGTTCAAATGTATATTCTAGCACTATTGATGTGCTTGTATGTCTTGTATGTGTTTATGTGTAGTGTATGGACTTATGTACAGTGTATGTAACTATTGATGTGCTTGTATGTCTTGTATGTGTTTGTGTGTAGTGTCTGGACTTATATACAGTGTATGTATTTAGATATAGTGCAGTGTATGAATACATATATATGTAGTGTATGTATTTGTATAGTATATGTATTTTATGTATAGTGCATGTATTTATATAAAGTGTATGGATTCAAATACAGTGGTTTTTTTAAACAGTGTATGTATTTATATATAGTGCAGTCTAAGTATACATATGTAGTGCATGCTTTTATATAGTGTATGTATTTATATATAGTGTATGTATTTCGATATAGTAAATATATATATATATATATATATAGTATAGTGTATTTATTTATATATAGTATGTAATTATATAGTGTATGGTATACAATTTATCTATTTATATATTATGTATGTGTATGTACATAGTGTACATATCTATATATTGTGCATGTATTTATATATAGTATAGCATATGCATTTATATAAAGTGTATGTATTTATGTACAGTGTGTGTATTGATTTATATTGCATGTAACTAATATAGTGTATGTATTCATATACAGTGTACGTACTATAAATAGTTTAAGTAGTTGTGTATAGCATAGTGAACATATATGAATATCAAGGCATGCAAGCCCCTACTCATATGTAGGTAGTCCCGATGTGGTGTATTTGTAATTGTATGCGCTCCGATTGGTCAGCAACCGAATGCGTTCTGTTGCGGCGCTTATCCGAGAGTGTAAGCGTTTATTCGTGCCAGAAATTCAAAGAAACAAACGCAAAAAGGACCAACTTTGAATAGATTTATCACATATACATTTAGATATATAGATGTATATGTGTGTATGTTTGTGTTATTCATACATACATATATATATATATATATATATGTGTGTGTGTGTGTGTGTGTGTGTGTATGTATATATGTATGCATGTATGTAATTGCAAACATATATACCATATCGATATATATATATATATATGTGTGTATATATATATATATATATATACTGTATGTATGTGTGCGTGTGGGTTCACATCTTTTTTTATAGCTATAATGTGAATCAACCAGGTTTTTTGCGTGTCGGCATATAACTGAGTGTTTATTGGATTCTTTAGCTGTGCATATTTGTACTTGCTCTTTCCGCATAAAGTCATATTTTAATTGAGATACCAGGTGTACAGAATAAGCCTACGCCCCAGAAATAAAGATGTTCAAGTGTACGCATGTATCACAATCACGAATGAGTTCTAAAACAGGTGTGAATGTAAAAAGACTCTTTGTTTAACGTTCATACGCTCGAAGAGTTCACAATTATATCTAAAGTAGCTCCTACGTTGGTATATTTAAATTTTGCCATATTAGGTAGTTTATGTATGATATTGACTTACCCCTGACTATAGTAGTTCGTAACAACGGTAATTGTGCCCAGGACCCCAAACACCAAAAGGAAACTCGCCGTATCGCCTACGTCTGCACCCATAGATATGGGCACGGCTATCTCTAAAAATAAAACACTAGTGAGCACTGCGAAGGATACCTGAGTTCTATCACCCAGTACAGGCGTTGGATGATTATTGCTATTAGGTTTAAAACTCGTCCTACGGGCGGTAATATAACTGGCAGGAGCGCCCGAACCCGAAGGGGAACTACAATGGAGTCTCTCTCGCGACATAGCGTCGTTGGTGTTCCCAGTACATAATACTTCTATTCATCACCAGATATATATGAGAAACTAATATGCACCATTAGATACTTCTATACTTCACCATATCTATGTAAGTATGCGCGCTTCAACTGCAGCGGATCAGTAGGTCGGTTGTCTGACTCGCGAGAGAGAGCGTTCATCGACCTTAGCGGCTCAACTGTTCAACCAAGGCAACCACTGAATGTGAGTCGAACGATATTGCTACAGATCAGCCATAATTCCATATTTATATACAAAAAGGGCATTAGTATGTGAAATCACAGATAAAACCAATGAAATACCTCAAATATTGACATTTTTCTCCATCTATCAAATTAAATACCTAGTATAAGCGGTAGCTGTACTGACTACTGACTACTGACTACTGACTACTGACTACTGACTACTGACTACTGAGTGTCTGACTTGCGAGCCGAGACTCCCGAGAGAAGTTTATTATCTTTATTATGTACGTAAAACGTATAAAATGTAATTACGTTCAACGTTTATTTGCTACATCATAGTCCGGCGTGGGTGCCAGAATTGCCAGTCCCAGGGCCCAGGCCCCAGCCCCCTGGGGCCAGGCCGCCAGGGTGGCAAAGTGTGACTGGGTTTTACGGAAATATCATGCCGTTCTAACACGTGTATTCAATCTGTACTGATAATACTGAAAGGGTGGGCCCCTTGTGAATGACTGATATCAAGTGCCATACAATCCAACACTGAAATTGCCCTGATAAGCGCGTGCTGTTTGTTAGTAGTGCGCTATAATTAGTTTGTATGGTTGTTAGGATATAGTGCTGCACTAACATTTCATATCTCAGATTATCGTACTGTATAGGGTCTACTTGGTAGACGGAGATTATTGCAGTGTTTTTCTGTTTGTGAGAGATATATACGTACGTCGATACGCCACAATGGGTGCTGCCGGTAAACGCGGAAGAGATAAAATCTCAGCTCAAGCAACGACGATACAATCAGTTGTTAGCAGTACTGACGATAATAGTAAGGAGACTGCAAGGAACTCTAGGAAGTCGAGATCGAAGACTCTGGACCTCAAGTCTAATCTTCAATTGAAAGATCAAGACACGGATACTGAAGAAAGTGAGTATGAGGGACTAGAGGACGAGGAGGAATCGGATGGTCAAGTAGGGGAGGCCGAAGCGTTTGGTTTGAACGATGCCTCTGCGGATGAGAATTCTAATAGTGAAGACGAGAATGGTGATACATTAGGCGTGACGAACAGTAAAGGTGATGCTCAATCAGATGGGGTAGAGGACAGTGTTGAAGAGTTCAGTGGGAGTGAGGGGGAACTTGGCGAGGACTTCGATGAAGAAAATGAAGATGCGTACACGCGCAGAGGCGGGTGGGCTGGATACGAGGATAGTGACTCGGATGACGAGATACCTGCCAATACAGTGGGCAATATCCCTCTGGAATGGTACGATGATTACGAGCACGTGGGTTATGATTTGGATGGTAAAAAAAATCATCAAGAGCGGGATGCGGGGTGAAGGTGAGGATGAGATTGATCACTTCATTGAGAAAATGGATAACCCGGATTATTGGAGGACTATTAAGGACCCTACGACTGGCGAACAGGTCGTGCTGAGTAACGAGGAGGTGGACATCATTCAGCGTATACAAGGTGCGTGTAGTAGTTGCCCAGTGCTTGTAAATTTTCAAAGCTGTGAATGTTCAGTATCTGGGTACAGATATATTAGCTACACGTGCACATTGGTTTTTTTTCTCATCTCTAGTTTCTACTGTTTTTTTATGTATGTTACGTTCAATTGCGCATCACGCTAATGAGTCTGAGATTGATATGCTCGAAAATGAACATGAATTACTCAAGTACATGTCTGGCACAATTTTTCTGGAGGATTCATATGCTATTATGTATATATATATATATATATATCCGGATATACCTATATGCCTGTATTTTCACTATACATTTATATATGTATGTGCTTGTATATGTGTATATATATATATATGCATATACTTGCGTAATATTGGTGATATACTATCTATCTGCATATGTATACATAAATTAGCGTCTTTATATCGATTATGTCTGTTTTGTTATTCATTTGTATACATATATATTCATATGTTTTAAATATATTTATTTATATATATGTAGGTGTGCGTGTGAGTGTATGTGTGTATGTATGCATATATGTATGTATGTATGTATACATAAATTAGCGTCTTTACATCGAATATGTCTGTTTTGTTATTCATTTGTATACATATATATTCATATGTTTTAAATATATTTATTTATATATATGTAGGTGTGCGTGTGAGTGTATGTGTGTATGTATGCATATATGTATGTATGTATGTATACATATATCTACTTACACATATGAGCATCAGATAGGTACACACGTGAGTGTTTATTGATATGTATCGCATGCATATGTATATATATATATATATAGCGCACGTGTGTATCCATTTTTTATGTGTGTATACGTGTCCACTCGTATGCTTAATGTTGATGTTTTACACATCCTTGAACAGATGTAGAAGGTACATTTATATAGCAGTTCTGGTATAGCATTTCCTGTGTATCACAGTGTCTGGGAACAGTATGCCGTTTTGCATATATTGTACATTTAGCGCATTTGTATTGCTTTCTAACTAGTCTCATGGTCATATCTGTACTCATGGGATATTCAGTATATAGTATGAATGCGGCACTGTCCACTCATACGCACGTATGTAGGTATAAAATAAGACTTCTGTCGTAGCGATGTCTGGTCAATGATGTGTTTGCGTTCATGTGTGTTTATTCTAGATATAATTGCGTGTTCATTGGTATGACCTCTCGATAACGTAAATAGGACGAGTCTCTGCTTGCTATTCTATAATTGACATGCTGTTACGCTCGTAAAGTGATTTATAAAAAAAGAGCGCTTAAATGAAACTTCAATCATACCTGCAAGTCTACGTGTGGTCAACTATTTTTTTTAGGCATGCACTAGTGGGCATATTTTATATAAGCAAATGTGCGAATTCGTTTATATTTTAAGCTTCCTGCGCCAGTCTTGATATATTCATACCATGAGCAACAAGTCTGTATTGTGTATTGCGACTATTTTTGAGAATGTGGAACTGTAAACACCCTTATCTTGTGGTGTAAATGAAACTACATATTCAAGATATTTATTCGTGACTGAACAGTATCGAATTTGTAATGGTAAGGAAATAGCATCTTCCGTGAATGTATATGATCTTGCAAGTACACCATGAGCCTGTCCTCCCTGAGTACGTGTGCACTTATAGCTATATGGCCCAGTCTATTTGCTATGTCTGCGCAGGTATGCTCCTTTTTTTGTTTGACACTTTTTCAGGAAAGCTCTCTTAGTATTGGTGTTTGGCATGTTTACTACATTTTGTGGTTTTATTATCAGCGCATGGCTATGAAGGGGTCTGTATTGTGTGTATGCCTTGTGGTTTAAAGTAGCGATCTGCGAGCTCAATAGTAACACATACACTCTGTACAAGGTGCACACTTATTCACCACATACGTGTACATCGATTCTCCCACTTGTACACTTGTACACTCATCAGAGCGCTCTCTGGGAGACACGTGCTAAAAATAATCGCCTTGTGATGATTACAGGTCGCATTAACGGCGATGGTGAGGAACAGCATCCTGAACACGTTGACTTTTTTACCAACACGGTGATGATCCACCCTGTGGGCAATGAACCCGAGCCCAAGCGACGCTTTATTCCATCAGTGCATGAGCACAAAAAGATCATGAAGATAGTCAGAGGCATTAGAGATGGGAGAATTCAGGTTGGGGCGAGAGATAGGAGTAAGAAGGTACGCGTCGGTCTCGTGAGAGTGTTTGTATCTCGTAATGGCGCAGAGTGACTGGATTCGCACAACTTTGAATAACGCATGCTATATTCGAGATTCTTTTCAAAAAAATTTACCAAATTTTTCGATCTTTTTTTAGAAGGAAGAAAAGCCCAAAGTCTACGAGATGTGGGCCGAGGGAGACGTTCCCACCAAAGATCACTATATGCACATGCCCGCGCCTAAGATGAAACTACCAGGACATGAGGAAAGCTACAATCCTCCGTCTGAATATTTACTAAATAAGGAAGAGCAAGCCGAATGGGAAGCTTTAGATATGGAGGACAGAGAACCCAAATTCTTACCAACCAAATACAGTGCGTTGCGATTGGTGCCAAGATATGATGATTTTATTCAGGAGCGATTCGAGCGGTGTTTGGATTTGTACTTGTGTCCCCGTGGTCGTAAGAACCGAGTCAACATCGATCCAGAATCACTTATACCCAAACTTCCCAAGCCTAAGGAGCTACAGCCTTTCCCGATTGCGTGTGTGGTCGATTTCGTTGGGCACACATCGAATATTGTGTCAATAGCCACATCGCCCAGCGGTCAGTACCTCGCTTCTGTGTCGTTAGATAAGACTTTGCGCTTGTGGGAAACGGTATCTGGTAGATGCGTGCGCACCATCGCTCTACAGACCAGTAGTGCCACTTCCATCAAGGATGCCGCCACGTGTGTTGCATGGAATCCTAATCCCGAGATTAGCATCATTGCCGTTAGTATTGGACAGGATGTGTGTGTATACAATCCGAGACTGGGCGCTCGAGAAGCCTGGGAAGCCGTGGATGTTGTGCTTGCACGTGCTGAGTCCGCTCCAAATCAAACTTCCGGTATAAATTGGGCAAAGGCTGGAGATGATCAACGTGAAAGGCATGGCTTGAGAATGCGAGTGACGCATTCAGCAGACGTGACATCGGTGACGTGGCATAAGAAGGGTGATTACTTTGCGGCTGTCACCCCAACTGCACCGGAAGGTGTGGCTATCCATCAGCTAAGTAGAAGGTATGTAATATTCTGGAATATTCTGTGTAAAACTGCATTTACTGTTATCGACGCAGTATTCTGTACCGTACTTTCGGTGATTTTTTGGCTTTAACATCAACTTTGGCTCATTCAGCTGTTACCTTTTTTACAGTCGATCACAAACTCCATTCAAAAAGGCGAAGGGAACCATTCAAAAAGTACAGTTCCACCCCACGAGGCCCATATTCTTCGTCGCAACGCAACGATATGTGCGAGTCTATAACCTTTCATCACAAGAGCTTATCAAGAAACTGATAACTGGTGTCAAATGGGTATCCAGTATGGATGTGCATCCCGCCGGAGATAATCTGATCATTGGTAGTTACGATAGACGTCTTTGCTGGTTCGATTTAGATCTGTCGGTGCGACCTTACAAGACGCTTCGGTATGTGTCTGCTCGAGAGATTTGTTGTTGGCGAGAGCTGATGTATCTATTGCGTTTTTCACATGCTACCTTCAACTCTTATATATGTAGTATACTCGAAGCGTCCGACTATTTCTAACGTGGCTAAACTATATTTGTCGGAACACCAGGTATCATACGCAAGCGCTGCGTGGAGTTGCCTTTCATCAGAAGTATCCTTTGTTCGCGTCTTGTTCTGACGATGGAAAGGTGCACGTTTTCCACGGCCGTGTCTTCAACGATTTGAATCAAAATGCTCTAATCGTCCCAGTGAAGGTATGCACTTTGACAATCATTAATTTTTATAGCCATATTGTTCGCAAATATAAACATATGACGCTATGTAAAGTCGCAGAGGTATGCGCTTTAGACTAAGTTTTGGACTTCGATTGCCTTGCATCTTTGCTCTTGTAGGTACTGGAAGGCCACACTCGCACATCGAGTGGTACTGGTGTCATGGATATCAAATTTCACCCCACGCAGCCTTGGGTCTTCAGTTGTTCAGCAGCTGGCGAATTAAAAATGTGGACATAATACCATAATTCAAACTCCAGCTGCTCATCGCTCTTGATTGTTGAAGGATGGTGTGGATAACCCATTAATTAGTAATAATAAAGGATTGTGAATAACCTCGAATCGTACTTGAATAAAAACAAGTCCTGTACATCTCGAAATATAAGTGCAGGTGTGCATGTGGAGTTTCTCGTCGATTCCAAGTTCCCTAAATACTTTCAAAGATGCACCTTTTCAATATTGGTGGCGTAAAGTTATTCTAATCTAGCACTATGCATATAATACTGATATCAAAAATCGTACTTCTAAACCCTTTCAATCTTACGAAAATACAATATCATGCGCTTCCCACCGCATATCTTTGATTACGTTTGATTTTAAAAGAAAAGTTTTAAAGTAACCCCCTGAAAGCCTCTTCCCTCAATGCAACTTGTAGATAAATCTTTATCAAGGCTCACAATACTTTAAGGATACCGCATGGATCCTTAGTTTCTATAATTGATTAAGGTCAAACAACTAGCTACAAGTCTTAAATAAATAAAATCAGGAGAGCTACGTTGTCCCTGCGACTATGTCTGCATCTCAATGCATGAGAAGGAGTAGCAATCGCACAGGGATCTGCGTGTATGTGCTTGTAACTTGTACCCTAAAGTCCCGGATGACCTGTACGATTACCCTGAGGGAAAGAAAGACGATGAAAGATAACATTGGTGGTGTGGGTGGGATACAAGGGAGAGAATTTGTGTCTTACAAAATTTAGCCCAGAGGACTTAAAAGTTGCAAATACGAACATCTACGAGGAGTATAGCTCTGATCTGTAGATGAGAGTATTCTAAGGGTATATACCAATAAAATGGTATTAGGGTTTGTTTGGTTTTCATTCCGCTACCGTAGCCATTACGAAGGTCTCCAATCTGAAGAGTGATATGTTAAATAATTACAGTACACGAGTATCGAAGCGGCGAAGCGGCTGTGAGTAAGCATCCGTTGCAGCGAATGTCTACTTCCGTGGTGGCAATCGCACGCCGTTGTGAACTCAGCGAGTTCCCCTTAATACATAGTATGGTAGCAATATTGCGATATGGTACGCGATCAAGCCCCGGTGGAAGCCATGCCAACCAATTTCGTGCACGATAGACTAGTGTGTGCCTGCTTTGAGAAAGATAGCACGTAGAGTTTCAAAAATTTGTTGAATCCTCCCGCTAGAAGAACTGGTGGTTCGTTGCGAATGGCGTTGATCAAGTGGATGGAGAAACCCGCAAATACCGCTCGGTTGAGTGGTCGAGTAAACTTGTTGGGGAGCGAAGAGCGACGAGCGATGACCTCGTTCGCGCTTAAGAAGATGGATCTGCAGTTGGTTGTGCGCCAGAAATTGTATTAACACAGCAGTAGGCCCAGTAAGGGAAAGTATACTCAACTTCCTCCGCTCCCCCCTGCAACGCATTGTCAAACTGAATCAGTGGGAGTGCATCTCTAGTGGTCTGTGATTGATTCAAGATGTTGCGCCATTTAAGAAAGGCGGTGCGGGGAATTCTGGAATCTCGTACCGACATAGGTTGTACCTATCCAGGCATAACGAACAAAAACTCTGTAAAATGCGATTCTGTCTGAGACGAATCGAAGTATCCCAATCGCTGGTGTCGAGCATAGCGTTGTTATTTACGGATCGAAGCTTCGTAACGTATAGCTGCGACTTGCATCATGCCTATTGCTTTTATATTAGCCTGTGCTGTTGAGAGGACGAAGCTGAAGTAATCGAGAGGTCGAACAGAACGGCTGCGTAACACCACGGGGATCATGTGGATACAATTTTTTCTGCGATGTCTTGGATACTGTGAACTGCGCTCGACGGCAAGAGCTCTATTGTCACTGTCTATAACACCATCGAATTGCGCTGTACCATGATGGAACAACTAACACTCCGCGTATCAGCTGATTGTCCAATAGTGCAACTGTTTGGCCCATCGGTGGCTTCTTTGGTGGGGGAGAAGGTCAATAGATGACATCATTTTTCCCATCGTTCATTTTGTTGCAATAAATTTGAATGAAATGCTAGATAG